TCAACTTTGGAAATTTCTTTTTGAAACAATGAAAGTAATGAAAAATTTGTTTTAAAACTTGTATTGTATAGTTCTTTAAGAATAAAGTCGTGTCATATTTTTTCCTTTTCGGAAACAAAATGGTGACGCTAAAACGTTTTCACACGGTCCTTTTTGTGCAATGCAATTGTCAAAGCGGCGTTGTCAGGATCTGACACTCGATTTGATCTGGAACAAAAGACCAAAAATTGTGTTGCACTGCACAAAAATATTTATTTTTTATATAATATTTATTAAAGAAATACGTACGAATATTTTGTAATATTGATTTTTGTGCAATCGCAATCTTGATTTTTTGATAAACATTTGAAGAAAAAGATTTTGTTTTTAGTCAAAAATTTCGTAAAAATATTGAATAAAAAGGATAATTTTTAATATCGCAAAATTCGTATGTATTTTTTTAAATTATACAAAATAGGAAATTCTGCAGTGCAAGTTTTAAATAAATCAGATAAACAGTGCCTGAGATACGCGCAACGCCGACTTTGAAAACACGGTTTCGAGAAAAACGCATTTAAAGTTTTGTTTTACGATTTTATATTAAAGTAGAAAATATCAAATTTATCTTTACTCTGCAAAGCTTGACTCCTCTACTTTTTCTGCTTTCTCTACATAATTTTCGAGTGTTTTTAAGAGATGTCATTGAGCGCTCCGGACCGTTCAATGGCGTAAAAGCGTTTCACTAAACTAACTTCAAACTTATTTCAAAAATATTTTCATTTAAACTATTAACAATAAGATCTTATTTTTAAAATACTATAAATTATTATCATTTAAGACAAAAAATCGTTTTTTTTAAATCTCTTAACTCCTTAAAATTACATTTTTACAGTTTTTTCTTAGTTTAGTTGAAACATCGTTAAGTTTCGCTTTTAAATTTGCAAACGAGATTGTATCTTCAGACGGAAAAACATTTCGCATGTAATATGTCTGGATATTTCGTCGTTCCTTCTTCGAAAGCCGTCGAATATTGTGTCCGCGTGCAGTCGGCTCATATTAGTAAGTCGTGGCTTATGCCGTGGCTATTGCCGTAAATGCTTGTAAATCTGATCGCGTTTGCATGGCGGCGCGGCGCATCCAGCACGACGAGTTAACGTTGCTCCGCGGGCATCGTTTATAACTCGCTTCCCCCTTTCGCGGCGCGGATGCGATACGGGTAAAGGGATGGTTTACTGCCTGCGTTAACCACCAGTGCCAGAGAAGCGGCTACTTTCGCCGTCGTAATCTTCACGTTATCTCGCTAATTCCCGCGCATTTGTACGAGTAGCGCGGTATATAAGTAAACGGCAGTAAATCACCCTATTTGCAAGCATTATATACTTCCACCTCTTCATTTAATTTTAAGCGTATATACACCCTCGGAGTTCTTAAATAACTCTGTATATTCAAGTGTTTCAAGGAAAGAAGATTAACTCGTTCTTTTTTCGTTGCGCGCTATTAATTGCGCTTCGATTTATTCATTCTGTTGACAGGATCGGCAAGCTACACATACATACACACACATACGTTTCGTACGCTTTAACTTTTCCCCCGCGATAAATTCGACCGTTGTCGATGCGAATAAAAATACACGCGACATGATTAATTTACTCACGCAACGCGCACAACTGGCTTTAAAAGCGTTTGATACAAGGAGCACGTTCGAATGTCATCAAATATCGGATTTCTCCCGTGTATCGATGCTGTTGACTTTGTAGATAAAATTTCACGTGCCGTGACATAGCTCGGCGAAATGTTAACTCAAAACCATACCGCACCGATTTCGCACGCTCGATGATCTCGCCGACTAAACAGAAATTAAAACTTTCGTTTCAGATACGAATAGCCGCGTGGAGTAGATTGCTTCGAGGATTTCGAAATAGACATGTGCGCCGAGGATCAACCGGACGTTGTTCGCCAATGACGCAGGGTGAGTCAATGTCTTGCAATTGGATTTCTATTAGTATGCACAGTTTTTTTTTTTACAGAATGCAATCGCATTTTATGCGGCCATGTGCTTATCGATAATATATATTTACTCTTCGACAATCTTTTGTTCGTGAACAAATATCTCCAATAGTCACCACAAATGCAATAATAATGAAAAAAATTCTCAAATCCTATTCTTACATAATTATAATAATAAATTCTCTCTCTACATAATTATAATAATAAATTCTTTTTTTTACATTTTATTAATTGTTTTGGCGATTCAAACGAGGGAATATGAGCTAAAATTTTGCTGTCAGCGACGTGGCTCGCGCAATACGTTATACGTATATTCTACATATTTTCCGGAGAATACGCGCGACATATATTTCTCCGAGCCCGCCCGTGCGATTTTCTGCCTTTTTCGATACGGTTGATCGTGTAAGGTTTCCGGAGGAAACCGAGGGAAAGATAGTTATGAAAATGCGACGCGCAAAGGCAAAAGGGGATACATTCTCAACGTGGCTCAATCCGACGTGCATTACGACGCGCGATCTGTTTGCACGGCCATAAATGGCCACGCTGGCGTTACACGCTGGCGGATACGGTTTCCCAATAGTTTCTCGAACCATTAGGTGAAAGGTCCCTTTTCCAGAGAGGGACTCTCCCGTCCCGATCTCGATCTCCCTCTTCATTAGGCCTTTATTAGAGCCCCGATACTCTCGGCAACACCCACGCGATATATACACACGCGATACACGATTACACTTCCAGAGTTCGTCACGCTCTCCGCCGCGCATCCTCTCGTGCAATCCTTTAGCCGCGCGCGAAATGTGAAAAATAATCGCGTTAAGGACCTCTTCTTCCGCGATGCATCACGAGATCGGAATCCGTTCCTTTGTGCCGTCGTTAAATGGAATAACGGGTTGAACCCGTCTCTCGTTAAGCCGGTGCGCCCGGCGACTTGAAAGCGCTTGTCGAAAAAGAGATTGCGACGACGCGGCGCGCACGCCGGGCGACGCTCTTGGTACTTCCATGAGATTCTCACAAGCGCAAATTCCGCGCGAAATCTCGTAAGATTTTAAGCAAACAATGCGCGTAAGACCTATAAATTATATTTTACGGAAATAATGGTCTCGCGCGGGGGAGACGCGCGGTGTCTTTAATATTCCTTTCAACGGAGTGCCAGAACTGTAGTATATCTAATCGTCCGCTCCTCTTTCTCCGCGCCCGATATATATCTCTAATGTGCTCGTTTATAATGCGCGCCGCGCGCGAATCGATATTATACATACATATATATGTTTATCGCTCTCGCGCGCTATTTTCCGCGCTGCGGGTGCTATGCGGGATAACTAATTGGCCGAAATAACACACAGTTGCGAGAGAGCTGCGTTATATCTCGCGGAGGGGCCATTCGGGACTCGCCTTGGCGCGCTTCCACCCGTGGAAAATCGACGTGGGGCAAAGTGATTTATCGATTGAATTCTAATTTCCGGGCCTGCATAACTTTTATCTGCGCCGCAGCGTAACGAACAGAAGGGGGATCGGACGTACCGACGTATAACGTACAGGAGAGGCGCGTCGCGAATATTATCGTTGACCGTGCGACCGCGTGGCGATTTTTTTATTTGTTTCTTTTTTTACAGCACACTTTTTACGCGCCAATCCGTCCGCGAAATTTTCGCGGATAAAAAATGGCTTTCGCGTTGTTACGCGCGGCAGCTTTCGACGTCGGACGCGCGCCGATTTGCCGCAAAGGCAGCGACGCTAAATATTTCGCCTGTTAAAGCGACGAAATAAAATTGTCGCGTAAATCCTAAATTTTCCGCAGATGGCGTGCCGGGATTGCGCGCGATAACTATTTGTATGGGACAAGTTTTTCCGGGGATTCTACGTTGGGCAGCTTTACCATCAACAAGGCCAAGCGTTGTCGCGATTTTTTCCGCCGCATTTTTCGTATGCCTTCCGCACGGGCGGACTTGCGATCCTTTCTTTTTTTTTTGTTCCATTTCCGATATCGTTCGAACAAAAGCGATATTTTTCTCTATTTCCCCGCAACGTCATAGCGAAACACAAAGAGTGGCAGTTCTGGAATTCGTTTTCAATTTGCGGACGTCAACGGCCAAATTGGACGTAAAACTTCGCAATTGATTCGTTCTTTGTCTACGGTGAATCTGATTTTATCGGAAATGCGGTTCACTTGCAATATTCGTTCCCTGATAAATTTTATATCTACATAATTTTATACATTGAGACAAAAATATACGGGAGCTACGTTCCCGTATAAATAAATATCGTCGTATTTTCATAACTTCTACACTTAGAGAAAAGGTGTATAGTGATGGCAACTATAAAGGTAACAACTGTACAAGTTTTACATGCAGAATTAATGTACATAACAATAATTTTCAATAAGGCCGTTATATCTATACGACAAATAACTGCAATTTAAAAATTAAAAATATTATTAGACACCAACCAATATCCAACCGGCTGAAATTAACATAATTTATTTGATTACATGCATTAATTGAAAAATTGTAAAAGTTGCAGTAACAAATAGTTTATTCAACTATATGCATCAATTCCTATAAACTTTGTATGATCGTCACTTTTATAGTTGCCACCACTATGTTCTATGAGCGTATGACAGTCATATTAGTTGCTAGAATTTAAACAATTACAATTTAACGACAAATAACGAAGACGTTAATATATTATTCGCAATGCCTTGCCCGTTTCTATTATTTATTCACGTACTGTACTTACCTCGGTACGTCTTGGCGACCGCGATAGACGACACGGGATGTTATCCGAGAGAAGGGCAAGCACAACAAACCCGCTGGCGCCGGTTTCTACCGAATGCCGATGCGCTCTCCCCGTTCTCCGTCAACACAGTGCACTCGCTCACACATACACGCATGGACGGAGGATCTCGCATACAGACCTCCCACAGACTGCCGGGCCGCGCCGCGCCGTCGCTAAATTATAGACTGGCGTGCGCGCATATTTTCTTCCATGCATATTGCATATGGATAACGAGGGACATCACCGCCGTCCGTCGCCGTTGCCCTCGTCGAGCGTCGTTTCACGGAAGCAGCTACCGCGACGCGCAATATGTCACGATTCGCACGAGATCTCGCACGTGTGTATGGAACACTGTGCCACCCTCTGCGCCCCTCTTGCCCTCCCTCTTTCGACATCGGGCTGCTCCGAGCATTCAGATAATCGCACACGAGAGAGAAAGAGAAAGAGAAAGAGAGATAGACTCCGAGATTTTTCCTCCAGCCGCACCTCAGGTTCTACCGACTTCTCTGCCGCTCGACTTCTCCTTCAAGTCGAATCATCATCTCGAGAAAATTCTCCGCCTCCGTTCTCATTCCATCCGGCGCGCGGTGGGTGGTTTTTGCTAAGCAACCTCGGTCTTTCTTGCGGAATCGCGAGGCCAATTTCTAAGCGCAACTAGCATTTAGAGTACCCTGAGGCAGTAACGAAATCAGGTCCGAATGAATACGAGTGTTCTTCGTGGTCGAGATTAGAATGCGTTATAATCTCGTTGGACTATCAATTACGAAGAAAGCTTTTATATCGATTTCGTTTTTTTTTTTCACGTAGAAGCTTCGTCGAAATAATGAGGAGCAAATATTAACTTTCTTGTCTACTGATTACACACGATTACGATACTTGTCGCCTCTTGATATCTTTATTTATGACTTACGTGGCTTGGAATGTTAGCGTCTCGTGATAAAAAAGATAAAGGGACTAGTTTGTAGTAGATAATTGATATTAAGATCACAAGATTACATTCTGTACATGAATGGATTCAATAATATTTTCACGAACAAAATTGGCGCTAAACATAATCTATCATAATTTTGCTTGATGATAAAATAACTGGTTGCGTTCAGGGAAATTAATCATACGAGAGAGAAAGAGAGAGAGAGAGAGAGAGAGAGAGAGAGAGAAAGTGGTCTAAGCCAGATGTTCCATCGAAGGGACTTCCTCGTTTCTTTCATTTTCTACTCTAGCTTGTTACTGCAGCTCCGTAGTTTTTGCCGCTGCCCTTCTTGCCACTTCGTGGCGTTCTTTGCCGTCCGTCCCAGTCATCTCCCAAGTATACTCGAAGGCATTGCTATTTGTAACCTACATATAGTTAGCGCCAACGAGGTCGCCTTAAACAAAGACGAATTGCAAATCCCCCGGTGTTTCTGCGGGCGCCGGTAATTGCGTGCCCGAAGGAAGTTTTCGATCGCTAATTTGATTGCGGCGAGCTAATTTGATAGCGAGTAAACTAGAGAATGACGGTGAGTTAATTAATGAATTTAACCGAGTATTTGTACCGTTTTCGCATAGTTTATTTTCGTAGAAATAGCATAGCCGGCGCACACAAAACGGAGCCCGAGACCGCGGCCGTAGACCGTAGATCGTCGAATGAAAGTTTTCGTAACAACGGTGTGACGTTGAAATGTCTGGCGTTGAAAGAGAAAGAGAGAAAGAGAGAGAGAGAGAGAGAGAGAGAGAGAGAGAATTCCCGTTATAGAAAAGATTCTTTCAATGATATTCTTGTATCTCAATTTTCATTTGATTCGCGCGCAACAGCTGGCTCGGTGTGATCGTACACGCTTTATTAAAGCAAGTTATGAAGTTTACGAATGCCGCCCGTCCACGCGGCGTATTGACTCCCGTAGAAATACGACTTTGATATACTTCCGGCGAGAAGATGAACCGGCGCGCGCGCGCGCGAGAGAGTTCGTAAATAATGAGAATTCCATTCGACGGAGTTGCCCGCTCCGCCCCTCTTCTCTCCTCACCACGGAATTCCTCTCTCTCCTTTCGCGTAAAGTGTAGCGCGGGCTTACGAATGCTTCGTAATCTAGCAAACCCCCGCGTATATCCGGCAGGTAATTCGAAGTTCAAACTATTTCTCCGGTTTTTCCTCTTGCCCCCCCGGGGGTACCTCTCGGTTTCTCCCCGCCTCTCTCTTCTCTTTTATTTCTT